GCTTCCAGCTCGTTCAGAATACAGCAGCTAGGATCTTAACAGGTACCAAAAGGAGGGAGCACATAACTCCGGTGTTAAAATCACTCCACTGGCTCCCTGTGGAGTACACAGAATAAAGTTTAAAATCCTTCTCTTAACATATAAAGCCATAAATGGCTTGGCTCCTTCTTATCTCCAAGACACGTTAGTGTCGTATCAACCAAGTCGAGCGTTGCGCTCACAAAACGCCAGACGTCTGGTGGTCCCTAAGGTCTCAAAGGTCACTGTTGGCGGCAGAGCATTTAGCTACCAAGCTCCTTTACTGTGGAATCAGCTTCCCATTTATGTTAAGGAAGCAGATACGGTCTCCACATTCAAGGCCAGGCTTAAAGCACTTTACTTTAATTTAGCATATAATTAGGTAATATATAATATGTAGTGTATATATTATATATATATGCTGTATTATGTTATATATTATGTTATATATTATTCAATAATGTATTGTGTTATGTTGTATATTATGTTATATATTATGCTGTATGTTATTCTTTATTCAAGGCTAGGTTTAAAACAGTCCTCTTTAGTTTAGCATATGGCTAGGAAGGTAAGACTCAGGGAAGGCTAAACTCCTCAGAGTGTCAGTCAAGCTGCATAGGGAGTCAGTTTGCTGGGAGAAGTATGGTAACTTGAGCACTATCCTCTCCTCCTTCCTACTTTATCTGTTTAGCATTTTTAGGATTCTGACTGTAGTTTGTTCATTGCTATTCACCCGTTGTCCCATTGTCTGTTTCATGGTACGATGACGGGATCTCTGAGCCTGGCCTCTTCCATCTACACCTGCGGACTGCCCCGCCCGACCCGCCTGGGAGTGCTTCAGTCCTGCACCGGACCTGTCCACGTTCAGCGTCCACTGGTCCACGTCCTGTAGCTAGCTTAGGTCCTGGATCATTAGCCTGTCCGTCCGGAGGAGCGGATCCCTTTCTCATATGGGTCTCCCTCCCTGTGGGTTTCCCTAGTTCTCCTCCAAGGTTTCTCACTTTTTCCCACTGGGTTTTTTAAGAGTTGTTCCTTGTGGATGCAGGAGGGTCTTGTTGGACAGTTAGTGTCCAACAGAAAGGATTGGTGATGATCAGGACACTTTAGCATTCTACAACATGTATGGACATTTTCTTCTGTGTGTGCTTTATATTCTTCATGTGTTTTAACTGTTGATTCTCTGACCTGTGTTGGTGATTTCAATGGTTTTGTTAAGTCTCTGAGATGACTTCTGTTGTGACCTAGGGCTTTACAAGAATACATTCTATTGTATTGTATTGTATTGTATATTATGTTATATATTATGCTGTATGTTATGTTGTGTATTATATATGATATACATGGTATGTATGGTATATATGATGTATATGATATATAATATATAATTAGGTTTGCTTGGATCGGTTTGCACACCTGGTGTGTAATCCATGAATCTTGGTGCTGTAGCCTGGGCTAGCCTAGCCTAGCCTAGCCTAGCCTAGCCGTGGCTGCTGCTGTCTCACCTCCTTTCAGATACGCTCTCTTTATTCAAGGCTAGGTTTAAAACAGTCCTCTTTAGTTTAGCATATGGCTAGGAAGGTAAGACTCAGGGAAGGCTAAACTCCTCAGACTGTCAGTCAAGCTGCATAGGGAGCCCCCTGCTGGAGAAGTATGGTAACTGCACTATCCTCTCCTCCTTCCTACTTTATCTGTTTAGCATTATTAGGATTCTGACTGTAGTTTGTTCATTGCTATTCACCCGTTGTCCCATTGTCTGTTTCATGGTACGATGACGGGATCTCTGAGCCTGGCCTCCTCCATCTGCACCTGCGGACTGCCCCGCCCGACCCGCCTGGGAGTGCTTCGGTCCTGCACCGGACCTGTCCACGTTCAGCGTCCACTGGTCCACGTTCTGTAGCTAGCTTAGGTCCTGGATCATTAGCCTGTCCGTCCGGAGGAGCGGATCCCTTTCTCATATGGGTCTCCCTCCCTGTGGGTTTCCCTAGTTCTCCCCAAGGTTTCTCACTTTTTCCCACTGGGTTTTTTAAGAGTTGTTCCTTGTGGATGCAGGAGGGTCTTGTTGGACAGTTAGTGTCCAACAGAAAGGATTGGTGATGATCAGGACACTTTAGCATTCTACAACATGTATGGACATTTTCTTCTGTGTGTGCTTTATATTATTCTTCATGTGTTTTAACTGTTGATTCTCTGACCTGTGTTGGTGATTTCAATGGTTTTGTTAAGTCTCTGAGATGACTTCTGTTGTGACCTAGGGCTATACAAGAATTGTATTATATGTATATACTGTACCTGTTGTTTACATGTAAATACCTGTTGTTTACATGTAAATACCTGTTGTTTACATGTATTTACCTGTTGTTTACATGTAAATACCTGTTGTTTACATGTAAATACCTGTTGTTTACATGTATTTACCTGTTGTTTACATGTATTTACCTGTTGTTTACATGTATTTACCTGTTGTTTACATGTAAATACCTGTTGTTTACATGTAAATACCTGTTGTTTACATGTATTTACCTGTTGTTTACATGTAAATACCTGTTGTTTACATGTAAATACCTGTTGTTTACATGTAAATACCTGTTGTTTACATGTAAATACCTGTTTACATGTATTTACCTGTTGTTTACATGTATTTACCTGTTGTTTACATGTATTTACCTGTTGTTTACATGTATTTACCTGTTGTTTACATGTAAATACCTGTTGTTTACATGTATTTACCTGTTGTTTACATGTATTTACCTGTTGTTTACATGTATTTACCTGTTGTTTACATGTAAATACCTGTTGTTTACATGTATTTACCTGTTGTTTACATGTATTTACCTGTTGTTTACATGTAAATACCTGTTGTTTACATGTATTTACCTGTTGTTTACATGTATTTACCTGTTGTTTACATGTATTTACCTGTTGTTTACATGTAAATACCTGTAGTTTACATGTAAATACCTGTAGTTTACATGTATTTACCTGTTGTTTACATGTAAATACCTGTTGTTTACATGTATTTACCTGTTGTTTACATGTATTTACCTGTTGTTTACATGTATTTACCTGTTGTTTACATGTAAATACCTGTTGTTTACATGTATTTACCTGTTGTTTACATGTATTTACCTGTTGTTTACATGTAAATACCTGTTGTTTACATGTATTTACCTGTTGTTTACATGTATTTACCTGTTGTTTACATGTATTTACCTGTTGTTTACATGTAAATACCTGTTGTTTACATGTATTTACCTGTTGTTTACATGTATTTACCTGTTGTTTACATGTGTTTACCTGTTGTTTACATGTATTTACCTGTTGTTTACATGTGTTTACCTGTTGTTTACATGTATTTACCTGTTGTTTACATGTATTTACCTGTTGTTTACATGTATTTACCTGTTGTTTACATGTAAATACCTGTTGTTTACATGTAAATACCTGTTGTTTACATGTATTTACCTGTTGTTTACATGTAAATACCTGTTGTTTACATGTATTTACCTGTTGTTTACATGTATTTACCTGTTGTTTACATGTATTTACCTGTTGTTTACATGTAAATACCTGTTGTTTACATGTATTTACCTGTTGTTTACATGTATTTACCTGTTGTTTACATGTGTTTACCTGTTGTTTACATGTATTTACCTGTTGTTTACATGTGTTTACCTGTTGTTTACATGTATATTGTAACCCGTATTGAATAAACATGCATAACTGAAACGGCTATAATATCTTGGGAGCCAACTTGCCCCAGAAGCGTCTTATCAGCTGTGCGCATCTCCTCCGTCTCCGTTGTGGCTGCAGCACTGACAGACGGCACATGAGAGCAAACGCGCTGAAACTCTCCGATCGCGCATTATTAAAGCTTCATAATTAGGTGAGTCTTTTGCCATGGCCTAAGAAGCCTAATTCCAAATGCATTTTTTCCAAAGAGATCGCTAAGTTACTGTTTTGTGCTGTTTTGGCATTGTTGCTAATATGATGCCATTCTCCCATAGAGCCGCCATGTTCTTTTAAGGGTTAGGGTTAGGGTTCGGGGCTGTGCATGGTGTGCCGTGTTTGCCCTACATTGCTCAGGTAATTCCGCTCTTTTCCTTTTTATGGTTAAGCCGTATTGTAGGCAACTCTTTAGTTTAGGACATATTTACAGAATTTGAGATCCCCATATGCTGTCATACTTTTGTAAACACTTCAAGGTAGTCCAGCATATTCCTAATGGAGTTACTGTGCGCTCCAATGAGACGCGTCTGTGTGTTATGTTTGTTGAGCAACACTTTTATTTATCAACTCTGAGTATTACAACGTATAAGATTCATACTGATCATTTATATTTATAACAACTATTCATGATTAGTGAAAGATTGAGTGCACTTCTACAATGAATATAGTTCTAATGGACAGTTTCATTCTTATTTTTTTCTACTGAGAAATCATTTATATTTTCATAATTGAACTGGATGTTTTGATGTTAAACTATTAATACTATGTATTAATATTAAGGTTAGAATAACTTGTATAACATGTGTTATACCAATTTTCTCTTTGTATAGCCTGAATAGAGTTTTCTTTCAGGATGATAATGTTACTTATTTATGTTTTTTGGCCTCAGGTCAGGTTTTTTGTAAGGGATGGACCAACCCATTGACCCAAGGAACTGAGCCTTTCTCCACAACAACTCAACAAATGGCGAGCTAGACCACTACGCAGTAGGACAAACTGTGTATTGCCTTCCTACACGCCTTTTGTGGATTACTCTTCTTTATTTTTTCTTCCCCTCGAACGGAATTAAAACCAAACCTTGCCATTAGCAAGCGTTCTTTTGTTGTTGGACTCTTTTTGCCTACAGACTCTGTAGTGGAACCTATTTGTGTTTTTTATATCTGAAATTTTGTGTATTTGATTTGTTTTTGTCCAATAATATTTCAGTCATTGAACTATTATAATACAATTCTTAATAACGTACATCAGTTATCTTCATGTGCACCTCAGGCTCCCTGCCGATCCACCCTCTTCTGCTCCACTACACTGCTATTACGATAGCATCCAAGTCAGATCCTGCGTAGCCAACTAGCTAGCGTTACAATATACCTGTTGTTTACATGTAAACACCTGTTGTTTACATATAAACACCTGTTGTTTACATGTAAACACCTGTTGTTTACATATAAACACCTGTTGTTTACATGTAAATACCTGTAAACACCTGTTGTTTACATGTAAACACCTGTTGTTTACATGTAAACACCTGTTGTTTAATATAAACACCTGTTGTTTACATGTAAATACCTGTAAACACCTGTTGTTTACATATAAACACCTGTTTACATGTAAACACCCGTTGTTTACATGTAAACACCTGTTGTTTACATGTAAACACCTGTTGTTTACATATAAACACCTGTTTACATGTAAACACCCGTTGTTTACATATAAACACCTGTTGTTTACATGTAAACACCTGTTGTTTACATGTAAACACCTGTTGTTTACATAAACCAGGACAAAGGACATCTTTAACATGAAACGTGTTTATTTGAAGTTTACAGTACATCTGTGGGAATAACTTTTCAGATCAGTGCATCAACAACAAACTATTTACAAGGATGTTTGAATGACCCCATTTTATATTATTCTCTTCTAATAAACAAGATGGCCGCCACAGTTTCCATGGCGACGTGACTCTTCATATGAGAACAGTTACAAACCTTTAAAGCTGAGGCACGTAACTTTCAAACCACTACAAAAAACAATATTGATTTTATTAGTTTGTTTACAGCTCAATCAGCTCTCAGCCAATCAGCTCTCAGCCAATCAGCTCTCAGCCAGAGTCAAACAGTGACTCACAGGGATCTTTCTAATGAGAATAAGACAGAAAACAAAGTTAGGGACCCCAGCTTTAACCTTAACAGTTGGATAACAAAAGATGAAATAACATAACCCTGGCGTATAGACTGATATCTGATCATTACATTTAAATAATTTCCTTTACTTTTAGTTATAAACACCAAAACACATGCAGGATGTTCCTCCTCATATACAGACTGCTTTATATATCAAAGTGCAATTAAAGATATACATTTCCAACGACTATATTCTCTGAGGCCTGACCAGCCAGGCCACCTGAACCAATCACTGAAGGCCACACCCACAAATCACAGAAAGCCACACCCACCTCCAGGCCTGTCGAAGGGGCTGGGCAGGGCCTTGCAATCTTCTTTTTTTAATTATCTTTTTTTAAATAAATACACTAGTTCAAGGGTCCCCAAAGGCGGACTGCGGTCCAGGTTCGGACTCCGTGACCCTATTATCTGGACCTCCCTGATTTTTTGTTCAAAAGTACATCATTACAAGTAAAGTCAAATGTTCACCGAAAGCGATTTGTAAACAGGCAGGTGCGAGGGCAGCTATGTACGCAGCGGGTCCTTCGGGAAAAACTTTACGGAGCTGTTAGATAACTTTAGCAGTGTCTGAGTGAGGAACGAAGAAAGTAACGGGAAGGAGCCCAGTGAACGGAGAGACGGATACTCGTGTCTTCTGTAGGAGGAGGAGGAGACAGGTGTGTGAGCAGAGGAGGAGGAGCAGAGGAGGAGGAGCAGAGGAGGAGGAGGAGGTGTGTGAGCAGAGGAGGAGGAGGAGGAGGAGGTGTGTGAGCAGAGGAGGAGGAGGAGGAGGAGACAGGTGTGTGAGCAGAGGAGGAGGAGGAGGAGGAGGAGGTGTGTGAGCAGAGGAGGAGGAGAGAGGTGTGTGAACAGAGGAGGAGGATAGAGGTGTGTGAGCAGAGGAGGAGGAGGAGGAGACAGGTGTGTGAGCAGAGGAGGAGGAGGAGGAGACAGGTGTGTGAGCAGAGGAGGAGGAGGAGGAGGTGTGTGAGCAGAGGAGGAGGAGACAGGTGTGTGAGCAGAGGAGGAGGAGGAGGAGGTGTGTGAGCAGAGGAGGAGGAGGAGGAGACAGGTGTGTGAGCAGAGGAGGAGGAGGAGGAGGAGGAGGTGTGTGAGCAGAGGAGGAGGAGGAGGAGACAGGTGTGTGAGCAGAGGAGGAGGAGGAGGAGGAGACAGGTGTGTGAGCAGAGGAGGAGGAGGAGGAGGTGTGTGAGCAGAGGAGGAGGAGACAGGTGTGTGAGCAGAGGAGGAGGAGGAGGAGGTGTGTGAGCAGAGGAGGAGGAGGAGGAGACAGGTGTGTGAGCAGAGGAGGAGGAGGAGGAGGTGTGTGAGCAGAGGAGGAGGAGAGACAGGTGTGTGAGCAGAGGAGGAGGAGGAGACAGGTGTGTGAGCAGAGGAGGAGGAGGAGGAGGAGACAGGTGTGTGAGCAGAGGAGGAGGAGGAGGAGACAGGTGTGCGAGCAGAGGAGGAGGAGGAGGAGGAGGAGGTGTGTGAGCAGAGGAGGAGGAGGAGGAGGAGGTGTGTGAGCAGAGGAGGAGGAGGAGGAGGAGACAGGTGTGTGAGCAGAGGAGGAGGAGGAGACAAGTGTGTGAGCAGAGGAGGAGGAGGAGGAGGAGGAGGTGTGTGAGCAGAGGAGGAGGAGGAGGAGGAGACAGGTGTGTGAGCAGAGGAGGAGGAGGAGGAGGAGGTGTGTGAGCAGAGGAGGAGGAGGAGGAGACAGGTGTGTGAGCAGAGGAGGAGGAGGAGGTGTGTGAGCAGAGGAGGAGGAGGAGGAGACAGGTGTGTGAGCAGAGGAGGAGGAGGAGGAGACAGGTGTGCGTGTGTGAGAGTGTGTGTGTGTGTGAGAGTGTGTGTGTGAGAGTGAGAGTGTGTGTGTGAGAGTGAGAGTGTGTGTGTGTGTGTGAGTGTGTGTGTGTGTGTGTGTGTGAGAGTGAGTGTGTGTGTGTGAGTGTGTGTGTGAGAGTGTGTGTGTGTGTGTGTGAGAGTGTGAGTGTGTGTGTGTGTGTGTGTGTGAGTGTGTGAGTGTGTGTGTGTGTGAGAGTGTGTGTGTGTGTGAGAGTGAGAGTGTGTGTGCGTGTGAGAGTGAGAGTGTGTGTGTGCGTGTGAGAGTGTGTGAGAGTGTGTGTGTGAGAGTGAGAGTGTGTGTGTGTGAGAGTGTGAGTGTGTGTGTGTGTGAGAGTGAGAGTGTGTGTGTGTGTGTGAGAGTGAGAGTGTGTGTGTGTGAGAGTGTGAGTGTGTGTGTGTGCGTGTGAGTGAGTGTGTGTGTGTGTGTGTGCGTGTGAGTGAGTGTGTGTGTGTGAGTGTGTGTGTGAGAGTGAGAGTGTGTGTGTGTGTGTGAGAGTGAGAGTGTGTGTGTGTGAGAGTGTGAGTGTGTGTGTGTGTGTGTGCGTGTGAGTGTGTGTGTGCGTGTGAGAGTGTGTGTGTGTGTGTGAGAGTGTGAGAGTGTGTGCGCCTGACGCTGCGTTGTAGTGAGGACACGCGGCTGAAGTCATGTCAACGATTATAACAGGGAAAAGTTTCCTCAGATCTGGGAAAAAAGTGTCAGGGCAGGGCCTCGCACCCCCAATCACAGGCCACACCCACCTCCCCCAATCACAGGCCACACCCACCTCCCCCAATCACAGGCCACACCCACCTCCCCCAATCACAGGCCACACCCACCTCCCCCAATCACAGGCCACACCCACCTCCAATCACAGGCCACACCCACCTCCCCCAATCACAGGCCACACCCACCTCCAATCACAGGCCACACCCACCCCCAATCACAGGCCACACCCACCTCCAATCACAGGCCACACCCACCTCCCCCAATCACAGGCCACACCCACCTCCCCCAATCACAGGCCACACCCACCTCCCCCAATCACAGGCCACACCCACCTCCCCCAATCACAGGCCACACCCACCTCCCCCAATCACAGGCCACACCCACCTCCCCCAATCACAGGCCACACCCACCTCCCCCAATCACAGGCCACACCCACCTCCCCCAATCACAGGCCACACCCACCTCCCCCAATCACAGACCACACCCACCTCCCCCAATCACAGGCCACACCCACCTCCCCCAATCACAGACCACACCCACCTCCTCCAATCACAGGCCACACCCACCTCCCCCAATCACAGGCCACACCCACCTCCCCCAATCACAGGCCACACCCACCTCCCCCAATCACAGGCCACACCCACCTCCCCCAATCACAGGCCACACCCACCTCCGCCAATCACAGGCCACACCCACCTCCCCCAATCACAGGCCACACCCACCTCCCCCAATCACAGGCCACACCCACCTCCTCCAATCACAGGCCACACCCACCTCCCCCAATCACAGGCCACACCCACCTCCCCCAATCACAGACCACACCCACCTCCTCCAATCACAGGCCACACCCACCTCCCCCAATCACAGGCCACACCCACCTCCTCCAATCACAGGCCACACCCACCTCCCCCAATCACAGACCACAAACTAGACTGGACCAGAACACTCAGCATTGTCCTCTGTCTCTGGGGTCTGCTCTGGGGTCCTCTGTCTCTGGGGTCTGCTCTGGGGTCCTGGGTCCTGGGTCTTGGGTCCTGGGTCTTGGGTCCTGGGTCTTGGGTCCTCTGGGGGTCACCACTTTCCTGGGATGGGGACCCCACACTCGTACCATCCGACAAAAGGATGGTTTGTGCGACGGCCGATCACTCCGAACGTGACGGGCTCCTGTCTGTAGGCACGAAAGTATCCTGCAACAGAGAGAGGCGTCACTCTGACTGTACCAACAGAGAGAGGCGTCACTCTGACTGTACCAACAGAGAGAGGCGTCACTCTGACTGTACCAACAGAGAGAGGCGTCACTCTGACTGTACCAACAGAGAGAGGCGTCACTCTGACTGTACCAACAGAGAGAGGCGTCACTCTGACTGTACCAACAGAGAGAGGCGTCACTCTGACTGTACCAACAGAGAGAGGCGTCACTCTGACTGTACCAACAGAGAGAGGCGTCACTCTGACTGTACCAACAGAGAGAGGCGTCACTCTGACTGTACCAACAGAGAGAGGCGTCACTCTGACTGTACCAACAGAGAGAGGCGTCACTCTGACTGTACCAACAGAGAGAGGCGTCACTCTGACTGTACCAACAGAGAGAGGCGTCACTCTGACTGTACCAACAGAGAGAGGCGTCACTCTGACTGTACCAACAGAGAGAGGCGTCACTCTGACTGTACCAACAGAGAGAGGCGTCACTCTGACTGTACCAACAGAGAGAGGCGTCACTCTGACTGTACCAACAGAGAGAGGCGTCACTCTGACTGTACCAACAGAGAGAGGCGTCACTCTGACTGTACCAACAGAGAGAGGCGTCACTCTGACTGTACCAACAGAGAGAGGCGTCACTCTGACTGTACCAACAGAGAGAGGCGTCACTCTGACTGTACCAACAGAGAGAGGCGTCACTCTGACTGTACCAACAGAGAGAGGCGTCACTCTGACTGTACCAACAGAGAGAGGCGTCACTCTGTCTGTACCAACAGAGAGAGGCGTCACTCTGTCTGTACCAACAGAGAGAGGCGTCACTCTGACTGTACCAACAGAGAGAGGCGTCACTCTGACTGTACCAACAGAGAGAGGCGTCACTCTGACTGTACCAACAGAGAGAGGCGTCACTCTGACTGTACCAACAGAGAGAGGCGTCACTCTGACTGTACCAACAGAGAGAGGCGTCACTCTGACTGTACCAACAGAGAGAGGCGTCACTCTGGTCCCTCTCTGGTCCCACCTTGTGCAGATGGTAGGGTGTTGGACAGATGGGTGGGTCCAGTTCTTCCGTCTCGATGCGAGTCCACAAACTGACAGTGGTCCTCGCCCTGTCCCAGAGTGTCCCCCACACTGTAGAAGGGCTCTGCAGACATGGACTCACATTATACAGCTGCAATACAGGTGCAATACTGCCTCTGCCTCTGCCTCTGTCTCTGCCTCTGCGTCTGCCTCTGTCTCTGCCTCTCTCTGTGTCTCTGCCTCTGCCTCTGCCTCTGCCTCTGTCTCTGCGTCTGCCTCTGTCTCTGCCTCTCTCTGTGTCTCTGCCTCTGCCTCTGCCTCTGCCTCTGCCTCTGCCTCTGTCTCTGTCTCTGCCTCTGCCTCTGCCTCTGCCTCTGCGTCTGTCTCTGCCTCTGTCTCTGCCTCTGCCTCTGTCTCTGTCTCTGCCTCTGCCTCTGCCTCTGCCTCTGCCTCTGCGTCTGCCTCTGCCTCTGCCTCTGCCTCTGCCTCTGCCTCTGTCTCTGTCTCTGCCTCTGCCTCTGCCTCTGCCTCTGCCTCTGCCTCTGCCTCTGCGTCTGTCTCTGCCTCTGTCTCTGCCTCTGCCTCTGTCTCTGCCTCTGCGTCTGCCTCTGCCTCTGCCTCTGTCTCTGCCTCTGCCTCTGCCTCTGCCTCTGTGTCTGCCTCTGTGTCTGCCTCTGCGTCTGCCTCTGCCTCTGCGTCTGTCTCTGCCTCTGCCTCTGCCTCTGCCTCTGTGTCTGCCTCTGTGTCTGCCTCTGCGTCTGCCTCTGCCTCTGCCTCTGCCTCTGCCTCTGTCTCTGCCTCTGCCTCTGTCTCTGCCTCTGCCTCTGCCTCTGCCTCTGCCTCTGTGTCTGCCTCTGTGTCTGCCTCTGCGTCTGCCTCTGCCTCTGCCTCTGTCTCTGCCTCTGCCTCTGCCTCTGCGTCTGCCTCTGCCTCTGCCTCTGCCTCTGTGTCTGCCTCTGTGTCTGCCTCTGCGTCTGCCTCTGCCTCTGCCTCTGCCTCTGCCTCTGTCTCTGCCTCTGCCTCTGCGTCTGCCTCTGCCTCTGCCTCTGCCTCTGCCTCTGCCTCTGCGTCTGTCTCTGCCTCTGTCTCTGCGTCTGCCTCTGCCTCTGCGTCTGTCTCTGCCTCTGTCTCTGCCTCTGCCTCTGTCTCTGTCTCTGCCTCTGCCTCAGTCTCTGCCTCTGCCTCTGCGTCTGCCTCTGTCTCTGCCTCTCTCTGTGTCTCTGCCTCTGCCTCTGCCTCTGCCTCTGCCTCTGCGTCTGTCTCTGCCTCTGTCTCTGCGTCTGCCTCTGTCTCTGCCTCTCTCTGTGTCTCTGCCTCTGCCTCTGCCTCTGCCTCTGCGTCTGTCTCTGCCTCTGTCTCTGCCTCTGTCTCTGCCTCTGCCTCAGTCTCTGCCTCTGTCTCTGCGTCTGTCTCTGCCTCTGTCTCTGTCTCTGCCTCTGCCTCTGCCTCTGTCTCTGCCTCTGCCTCTGCCTCTGTCTCTGTCTCTGCCTCTGCCTCTGTCTCTGCCTCTGTCTCTGCCTCTGCCTCTGCCTCTGCCTCTGCCTCTGCGTCTGCCTCTGCCTCTGCCTCTGCCTCTGTGTCTGCCTCTGTCTCTGCCTCTGTCTCTGCCTCTGTCTCTGCCTCTGCGTCTGCCTCTGCCTCTGTCTCTGTCTCTGCCTCTGCCTCTGCCTCTGCCTCTGCCTCTGCCTCTGTCTCTGCCTCTGTCTCTGCCTCTGCCTCTGCCTCTGCCTCTGCCTCTGCGTCTGCCTGCCTCTGCCTCTGCCTCTGTGTCTGCCTCTGTCTCTGCCTCTGTCTCTGCCTCTGCCTCTGCCTCTGCCTCTGCCTCTGCGTCTGCCTCTGCCTCTGTCTCTGTCTCTGCCTCTGCCTCTGCCTCTGTCTCTGCCTCTGCCTCTGTCTCTGTCTCTGTCTCTGTCTCTGCCTCTGTCTCTGTCTCTGTCTCTGCCTCTGTCTCTGTCTCTGCCTCTGCCTCTGCCTCTGCCTCTGTCTCTGCCTCTGCCTCTGCCTCTGTCTCTGTCTCTGCCTCTGCCTCTGCCTCTGCCTCTGTCTCTGCCTCTGCCTCTGCCTCTGTCTCTGTCTCTGTCTCTGCCTCTGTCTCTGTCTCTGCCTCTGTCTCTGTCTCTGCCTCTGTCTCTGTCTCTGCCTCTGTCTCTGTCTCTGTCTCTGCCTCTGTCTCTGCCTCTGCCTCTGCCTCTGTCTCTGCCTCTGCCTCTGTCTCTGCCTCTGCCTCTGCGTCTGCCTCTGCCTCTGCCTCTGTGTCTGCCTCTGTGTCTGCCTCTGCGTCTGCCTCTGCCTCTGCCTCTGCCTCTGTCTCTGCCTCTGCCTCTGCCTCTGCGTCTGCCTCTGCCTCTGCCTCTGTGTCTGCCTCTGTGTCTGCCTCTGCGTCTGCCTCTGCCTCTGCCTCTGCCTCTGTCTCTGCCTCTGCCTCTGCGTCTGCCTCTGCCTCTGCCTCTGCCTCTGCCTCTGCCTCTGCGTCTGTCTCTGCCTCTGTCTCTGCGTCTGCCTCTGCGTCTGTCTCTGCCTCTGTCTCTGCCTCTGCCTCTGTCTCTGTCTCTGCCTCTGCCTCAGTCTCTGCCTCTGCCTCTGCGTCTGCCTCTGTCTCTGCCTCTCTCTGTGTCTCTGCCTCTGCCTCTGCCTCTGCCTCTGCGTCTGTCTCTGCCTCTGTCTCTGCGTCTGCCTCTGTCTCTGCCTCTCTCTGCTCTCTCTGCCTCTGCCTCTGCCTCTGCGTCTGTCTCTGCCTCTGTCTCTGCCTCTGTCTCTGCCTCTGCCTCAGTCTCTGCCTCTGTCTCTGCGTCTGTCTCTGCCTCTGTCTCTGTCTCTGCCTCTGCCTCTGCCTCTGTCTCTGCCTCTGCCTCTGCCTCTGTCTCTGTCTCTGCCTCTGCCTCTGCCTCTGTCTCTGCCTCTGTCTCTGCCTCTGCCTCTGCCTCTGCCTCTGCCTCTGCGTCTGCCTCTGCCTCTGCCTCTGCCTCTGTGTCTGCCTCTGTCTCTGCCTCTGTCTCTGCCTCTGCCTCTGTCTCTGCCTCTGCGTCTGCCTCTGCCTCTGTCTCTGTCTCTGCCTCTGCCTCTGCCTCTGCCTCTGCCTCTGTCTCTGCCTCTGTCTCTGCCTCTGCCTCTGCCTCTGCCTCTGCCTCTGCGTCTGCCTCTGCCTCTGCCTCTGCCTCTGCCTCTGCCTCTGTCTCTGCCTCTGTCTCTGCCTCTGCCTCTGCCTCTGCCTCTGCCTCTGCGTCTGCCTCTGCCTCTGTCTCTGCCTCTGCCTCTGCCTCTGCCTCTGCCTCTGCCTCTGTCTCTGTCTCTGTCTCTGTCTCTGCCTCTGTCTCTGTCTCTGCCTCTGTCTCTGTCTCTGCCTCTGCCTCTGTCTCTGCCTCTGTCTCTGCCTCTGCCTCTGCCTCTGTCTCTGTCTCTGCCTCTGCCTCTGCCTCTGTCTCTGCCTCTGCCTCTGCCTCTGTCTCTGTCTCTGTCTCTGCCTCTGTCTCTGTCTCTGCCTCTGTCTCTGTCTCTGTCTCTGTCTCTGTCTCTGTCTCTGCCTCTGCCTCTGCCTCTGCCTCTGCGTCTGCCTCGCTGCTCACTGGGCACATCTTCCCAATGGGGTTACACTGCAGACGGAAAATACACTGAATCTGTAGAATGGTGTCAGCGTGTAGCGTGTGTGTGTTTGTGTGTGTGTGTGTTGTGTAGTGTAGTGTTTGTGTGTTTGCGTGTTGTGTAGTGTTTGTT